TTTTTTTTTGGTTTTCTGTCTTCTATTAACAGTTATTCAACGAAACAGTAACAACAAACAGCAGTATCGGTAACAGTAGCGTATAAAAATAGCAAAAGCAACAGCAATAACTCAGTGGTAGCCAAAACCTTAAAAAAGTTTTTTTTGTCATATTGCAGCTGCAGAAACTGCTCAAATACAGAAATTAATCGTCCAAAAAATATAAACGTTGTTTTATGGTAATCCAAGTAACAAAATGTGAAAAAGGAAAACAGAAGAAAAAAAAAGAGAAAAAAGAGCACAATTATTACAATGAAGGAAAGTAGTTCTTCAACAAACATTTATTGCACTTCCCCTTTTCTACTCCACGTTCCTACCACGTAGCCTACTTTTTCCATTCCGTAATTTCTCCCAGTTTTCCCTCTTTTGCTGTGATATCAGTCCATCAGTTTTACTTAAATGTATCAAAAGTTTTCAGATATTTGCGACATATATTTAACGCGGAACGAAATAGTCTTTTCGAACTAACTTAACGTATCAAATGTCTGTATCAACTATATATAGTTGATTACTCATGCCATTTATTACAAATAAATTAGAGAAAGAGTAACATCAATTTTAGCATCAATTCAGCGTTTTTATTTCTCTATCTCAGATTTAAATTTGAAATATTCATCAAAATCTTTTCTCAAGTTAGCGTTGCTTCTCTGTTCATCTCGCTGTTACTGTTCATAAACAGGTCTTGGCACTTTACAATCCCTCCTTTCTTTATTTTTTTCAGTTTTTTTGCTTCTTGCTTATTCTTACTTATCAACTTCTTAAATTTGTTAACATTTGCTTGATTTGTTTTTTTTTTTTGTTTTTTTTTTCAGCTGTTCTTCTGTTTCGTTACATTTTTTGTTAGGTTACTGTGGTTGTTACCACTGCTCTTTTCAATGATAGTTTCCCTCAATTTTAAACCATAACTCGCCTTGAAAACACTTTAACTATTGAACGTTCACGTAACAACTACTTCTTATAATTGTTTTCTGACTGTAATAACAAGAGGGAATACAAAGTGGAAAAAATAACTGAATTTATGGAGAGGAAAAAAGTAATGGCAAAAATTGGAAAAAAAATGAATAATAATTCTAAACTTTTCAACTGGTAACAGTGTCCCGCTGGGTAACATCAGTAATGCATAAAAAAGAGCCATTTTTCTACTTCCACTACTGTTTATTTGTACTTCTTTAACCTCTTGCTACTCCCAGCCGAGTAGCTAGGAAAGAAAAAAGTAGTTATTGTTTCCTTTTCTATCGCATAACTTAAATTTATTTGATTTTTTTTCCTGGTTGCCTGCCAGTTCGAAATCAGTGGCAAGCTGTCCGAAAAAAATTTTTTTTCTTGAAAGCAATTCTATTTTGAAACAAAGCGGTTTAAGTTGTTTTTTTTTTTCGCCCCAATTGCTGATTTGGCTAGAAGCAGGTAGTTTCTTGTCATTAATTTGCATTCGTATTTAACTTTTTTTAAAAATTAGCTTGTTTTGCTTTTTTCGCGATGATTGATTGAGCTGAATATACAGGAAGCAACGTGTGAGTTTGAACGGTAATCGTATAAAACGTCTAGGCGTAGCAGGTTATGGTAAGGTAACAGATTAGGTACTACGCTTCCGTATCTGTAATGGAGAAGGCTGCAAACATTTGGAAGCGAATTACTGAGCAGACAGAGTGTCACAACTGAATCTTTGTTGAATATTTTAGACACGTTAGGCAAGATCAGGAGGCTAACGATGTTACATAAATGAACTTAAAACAGTGATGAGGGAAGCGAAAATTACTCAGTTAATAGCAGTAACATTATTCGCCCTGTCTACAACCGTTTATGGCTATAATGAATACTTGACTCCCAGTGGCAGGTCCAGAGATTCAGTTTTGGGTACTTTATCACGACATGATCCACTTTACCAGATTGCGCATTTTACTGGATATTTAAAACAGAGAGTTTTTGGAAATTCTGTGCCACAAGTGAGTATTTTAAGTTAAAGGTTTTGGCTAGCCAAAAGTTCAAATCTAGGCTAACACTTACAAAGAAACGGTCTATTTTGATTATCCTAATTTACCGTTTTATATGAATGATTTATTTTTCTGATACATGCGCAAAAAATACTAATAAAATATAACTAGTTAAAAATTTTTACAAGAAAATTATAAGTATGTTAAAAAACTTCTAATTTTTTGACTGTAAGTTGTACTGAATCCTGAAAACCAAAATACACAAAGTGTACAAAGTCCCATAAAAGTTAGGTGGTTTTTAATTTGCTTTAGTGCCCCTGTGTAATCAAACCAGGTACGAACAAATGTATCACTTACGATTCTCGATTTCAAGCAGCATCAATTGAGGAAGCTATTCTTGCTTTCCCAGACATCAGTGCCGATACAAGAAGACTTGCAGACACGAATGGAGGAGCCTTGGTAAATTTTGTTTAATCGAGCAATAATTTTTGTTTATGATGCATATTCGAACATTAAAATCTTTTTTTTTCAAGCATGCGCTGATTAAAATATGAAATGTTAAAATGAAAACAGTAGTTTTAAAATCTTTGTTAAGGGTTTTCTCATAAACTAAGGTGGAATACTGTAATTAAGGAAGCAATAGAAAAGTTTGCGATACAAACACTCTTAAAAGGTTATTTCAAATAGATATTTTTCACTTTTATAAACTCAGTATCCCTCAAAATTTCTCCGTTGCTGGGTGTTATTGGAGCTATACAAAACTCTTAATTTAGGATGCTGAAACATTCGCTTGTAGAACTATAGAATGCCAGACGTGCGTCGCACTTTTGGTTGCTCGATTGGTCGCTGTTGGTCTCCTTCGGGCAGCAACAGATGTTTCATTGCCAATGCCATCAGTCATTGATCGACGTTACTGCCGAAGGCTCAGATTTGCCAATCCTCCACCAGTAATTTTCAATGATTTCTCTTATAAGCAAAAGTTTTTTTTTTTTTCAGCTGAATTTACCAATGCATTATCAGCAAAGAAATGCGAAATGAACTGTATTTTAGAACAGCAGTTGAAACTTTGAATATTACAAGATAAATAAAGTTCCGCTCTTTTTATTACAATAGAAAGCAGAACCAAAAGTGTTCAAAACGTACTAATTTTGTTTTTATAAAAATAAGCTGACTATTACTTTTTTCCTAAAGACTACTTGTTTTGATTGCCGCTCAAGTCCTCAAATCCACAATGAATAACTTTTCGTTTTAACAGTGTTAAAAAATTAAAATTGTGACACATCCATCTGTGAAATATGTTCGTATAAATATTGTTACTTATAGATTTTTGAACCACCAGCAATTGTTCCACCATATATGAAGAGGCTGATTGATGAAGGACACAGATTTGCAGCATCTGCTGCTGCAAGGAATAGAAACAACGTGAGGCGTTTTTCGAGTCTTCCTGCACCTAACGGTGGATCGCAGAAACAACAGCCCAGCCAACAGTATAGTCAACAGTACGTTTATCCGCAAAAGGCACAGCCGCAATATGTACAGCAGCAACCAATAGTGCAGTACCCACAAAAGACCGTACCAACTGGAAAACCTGTAAGGAATAAAAAAAGAAACCGATTTAATGAACCAAGAAGTTATCGGTTCTTTTTTTTTAATAATAGCTTGGATGTGTTATGTTGTTTGACATTAAGGGACTGGAAACACTAATTATACAAGACTTCCTATGCATTCTTCTTGTGTAGGTCACCGAAGAAGTTTTTGGTTCCCAAAGGTGTATAAGTTTTTTTCTTTCACTCTTGCAAATTTTGGGATTACAATACTGACCGTTAGCGTTACTTCCTTAGACTGCTGAACATCCACTGTTTCTGAAGACCACTTCCATTCCAAGATACCAAAGTGGTTTATTATTTAGTCTGATGATTTCAAAAGAACTTACTGTTGGAAAATTTTTGGAACAGGATTTCTTCAGTATATGCTGACAGTTTGATTGGTTTAAAACTACTCGGTTTGGTAATCAATTTGAATGTCAGCATCAGCAGCTCAACTGGAAAAAACTTCTATATCTTGGTCTACTTAACAAGTCTTACCTTCCAACAACAGAAACGACTAATCTAATCTGTTATAGTTACTGACAAACAGGAGTAATCCTCTGTCACACCTACTCAGTTACTCGGAAGTCCTTCTTGTTTTGAAACAAAGGATCGATAGATATTTTCTAGATCAATAACTCTTTATAGAGAGCACGATTCTTTCTACAGCAATTGTGAAGACTTTCTAGTTGCGGTTTAAGTGTCCTTAAAAAAGACATCTTTTATTCGGATTTCATTGTTAACTCATTATTAACATTCATTACTGTTACCTCTAAAACATAGCTCTATGGCCGAGAGTGAAGTGGAACTGATTTGGTGGTTAAATCAAATTAGCGGAGGTAGACGTTGTTACTGTTTTCGGCAACGTATTTAAAGCCACTGCGGTCAGCGATTCACTGTAGAGTTCATCTTGCCGTCTTCCTCCATATTTTTCTGCTCCAGTGAATTTACCATGGAAGTTGCAGGTATCTCAGACCCTGGTGTCACAACCTGTACAGTATCCACAACAGTCTCTACCCACTGTTCCTTTAGTCGTCCCTGTAGTACCTCAGAGTCCACCGGTTTCGCAACAACCGATTTTTCCTCTACCTCCACAACCACTTCCACAGCCGTTACCTCTGCCACCACCACCACCACCACCACCACCACCACCACCACCAC